AAGGTAAAGAAATCAGTCAGAAACGTTTTGAATGGCGGAATGCAGAAATGTGCATGTTAGCCGTTGATGATTTGTGTCCAGCACAGACAGCAACCAAAACAAAACTGAAAATATTTCTCTGCATTTCGTGTTAATAGAGCTTGTTTTGAGTTTATTTTCTCTTCAGATACAAAATTGTTTTTTTTTACTGTTTATTTGACATTTTTGTAAAAATATGACAAATGTAATTAGCTTGCAGGAGGAGTTACAACCTCCTCCAAAAACTGAAAAGTTGTTTTAGGCTGAGTGATGTTTCTGTGAAGTGTTGTGGCATACAGTATCAAACATGTTTGGAAAAAAAACAGCCTATTTAAGTATCCTGTTGTGACCACATTAATGTCAATTCTGATTTTTTTACATAAAGGTTATGTTTTTTGTTTAATTGCATTGATTAAAAACTGGGTCCAACACTTATAAATTTGGATATAAATAGAAATGAAATGAAATTTGCATTACGTTAAGTTTGCATTTGACTTAATCTGTTTCTCAAGCAAATGCAGTTGAACCCAACAAGGGGTTTAGAGACTGGGCTCTGTATATTGATATAAAATCTCACAGTTTTACATGGCTGGTAGTTCTTTATGCTTATAGAATACAACATTTTTGTGGGGCCCTAGTTTCACTGTAGTCTTTTTTTGGCAGTTACACTTAAAAAGACTAAATAATTTCTTTGCAAGTAATCAATAGATCATCACTTAGATCATCTTCCTAAAGATATCAATTTGTCACGTGTTTCTTATGATTATTCTCAAGGACATATTTTTTAACAGAAATATATCATATTGAAGGATTAATATTTTTTCCCATTATTTTCTAACATTGTAAAAAAATGTGTTGGTTGTTCTTACCTTTCCCACCGAGTGTCAGAAGAAATGAACTTTGGCCCCTGGCTTGTGTTTATTTTATCAATGTTCACTGGTGAGGGATCAGCCACCCCCTCTACACTCCACTCCCCACTCCCCACTCCCCACTACCACAATACCCAGGTACTGAAACATTTGTGTTATTGATGGAAAAAGAGGTGTTAGTGAATTAAGGATCTGTGTTTGTCTGTTGGGGATCTTGTGACTATAAGCAGACGGTAATTTATGTGGGTATGGGCTTAATACATAACAGTTGTAATGACTCCTAAAATTTTGATTCATCTTTGTTGTAAAGGGGAGGTCTGGTTAATGTTGGTGTGCTCAAAAAATGGTTCATGACAGGTCTAACTCACGTCTAGGATTGTATTGGGGTCTTCTGGGTAATATATCATATCATGTGGTGTGCTGGGGTTGTTTTGTTATTTCAGAATCATTTGGCTGCAACAAGGTTCTTATTGCTAGAATGTAGCTGTTCAAAGATTTTTTTTGTCACAGCATCTGGGTTTTACAGTACACCATCTTCAATTAGATAACATACACATAGAGATTTTAACAAAATTAAATAATATATATAAGATGTTTTAACAGACTTACAAATGTATCTTAATAACTTCCTCAAATATCAAGATTGACACTCATGCCTGCAACCATATCAAATAGTGACAGGGTCACTATAATGTAAAAAGGTGCCATCCTTCAGATAAGATATAAAACCAAGGTCTAGGTTCTCTGTAATCATTAAAAATCCCAGAGTGTTTCTCGAAAAGAGTCGGGGTGTTACCCCGGTGTGCTGGCCAAATTTCCCATTGGTCCTTATCAATCTCCTCCTAATAATCCCCATCTATGAATTGGCTTCATCACTCTGCTCTCCTCCCCACTGATAGCTGATGTGTGGTGAGCGTTCTGGCGCACAATGGCTGCCATCGCATCATCCTGGTGGGGCTGCACATTGGTGGTGGTGGAGGGGAGTCCCCATTACCTGTAAAGCGCTTTGATGGAGTGTCCAGAAAAGCGTATTATTATTATTATTAATTCACATAGTATTTTTAAGTCAGTAGTACTGTGCATTGTATTATTGTTTTTCAGGTAAATATCTTGGTTTGGGAGTGAGTTTTAATCATTTATATAGAGTGATTAAATTGTTTCTGTGGGAGAAAACCAGAGCATCCAGAGGAAACCCATGTGAATATGTGCTCTGGTTTTCTTCCATAGTCCAGAGATAACTGGTAGGTTAATTAGCTTGTGGATAAATCAGCTCTGGTGTGAGTGTCA